AGAGAGAGAGAGAGAGAGAGAGAGATGGGGGTGGTACCTTAGGGTTATTAACGTGTGCGTTCTTACGAATCTCGGCGGCGATGGTAGAGCGAAGATGCGAGGGTGCAACGACGTCGTCTAGATTGTAGATCTCCATGATTGTTGGAATGGATCTGCAAGCCGACCTGAAGAAATCGAAGGTCCGATGCCGAGCCTCTTCCAGAGTCACGGAGTTCGGTGGAACCTTCACACTCCTCAGTGTAAACGCCATTCGCTCTCTCTCTCTCTCTCTCTCTCTCTCGATTCCCTTTGATTGGAACTGACAATGGAATGTAGAAATTACGAGTAAGGCTCGGAGGGAGCGAAGAAATGAAGAAGAGGAGAGAGAATGAGAGGGCCTCTTGTTGAACTGAGAAGCCAAATCGAGTGAGGGGCCAAGGTGTCTTAAACGACGCCGTTATACAAAGCTCCTCCTCCAACTAAGCATTGTAATAGAAGAAGACGAGAGAGAGGATTTATTGAGGCTAATGAGGAGTATGTAAATTGGCCCGACCATGCGACTCTTGAAAAAAAAACAAGCTATGCTCACTCTATGTAGTTATAGTTACCGCATTTGTTTGGTGATAATGATGCATCCTAATAGAATAAACAATGTTTGTTTTAATTAGGGGTGGTAATTTTAAATTTTTAATCATCAATACGAATTCGAATCTAANCAAAGGTGGACCTAAGGGCGAAGTACAGCAGTAGCACCTTGCCAAGGTCAAGACACAAGCTTAGTGGGCTTAGGCACAAGGCCCAAGTTGCATATAAGACGCGGTTTGTAGAGTTCTCTTTTTTTTTTCCTTGTCCTCTTTTAAATTGCATGTGGGCCACTGATCTGGTGAAGTAACACAATATGTTTCGTATGCATAGTACACTAAACAAATCACACAAACTCATATCTGATCAATTCAACATCTCCCTCTCTCTCTCTCTGAAACACACATAGAGACGGGGATATTGAAGCTTTGAGAACATGATCGACACTACTGATCAACATTGTCAGTCCCTCTTCAATCTTCAGTCTTCTTTTTTCTTTTGATCTTTAGTCCCTCTCTACATTTCATTCCTCCTAGTCTCTGTCTCTTCCTTATTTCCTTTTCCCTCTGTTTTTGAACAACTAAATTTCCCTCTTTGGTATTATGAGCCCCTAATACATTAAACTTTTGTTTTCAGAAACATAGCTCCTTTTTTCCAAAAATGCCCTGTTGTAACGAAATAAGGTAATAGATTCCTAAAATGTCCCGTCTTTGAGTTAACAATGAGTTATGTGAGACCCTTGGTTTAGATAAACCATAAAACGCCAGTGGAAGGAAGGTGCCAAGTCAGCCGATTCCTTGAACCATGGATATAGTTAAGATAAGATATTGCTGACAATATGTACCAACTTACAAATAAACCTATCTCATCCTCTTTCATATCAAGCATCAAAAAAAATTGGCAACTAAATTATTCAAGATTTATAACCATTTTTGGATAATAGGTATTCAAATCAATTAGAAAGCAAAACAAAGAAATGGTTAAATATATATATATATGTACTAGTGAAACAAGAGAAAGCTAGTGAAAGAAAAGATAACATCTTTACACAAATTCAGGAGTAGTACAGCAAAATAACACTAAAAGGAACATGAAAATTAGCCTAAAGCACCAAGATAGTACCATTGACAGTAGACCTGGACCGGTGTGCTTGGCAAAAAAGTTTTCATCTTCAAACTTACTCCCANCTTATAATTCGAGTGATGTTTGAGTGGAAGTCAATTGTCTTATGTGTTATTCTTATGGAGGTGCAATTGATGGGAGGAGGTATCGGCCTCAAGTTCCATAGTCATCCGTGATGCACTGAGTCATAGTGTCTTGAGTTGGGAAGGTCCGAGCTAAATCTTAAGCATATTTTGGGTATCATCAATAATAAACACCCTATTTAACCTCAGTGGATAGCTCAAGTGGTAATAAAGATGAGTTGTAAACTCAGATATCGTGAATTTGAATCTTGACAACTTTTCAAGATCAGACCATAAAAAATTTATCCCTCAAATACTTTAGTTCTGTGCATGAATGACCTGCTTTTGACTGAACGGAGAGGGGATTAATGTGCGCATAAGCTGACTCAAAGATTACTATGCACATAAACTAATTCAAACCCTCGTAACCATTGAAAAAATAAATTCTATTTCATTCCCAATCTCATTATATTCTCGCTACCATTGGAATTCTGTTTCCACTCAAAAGCACTAGAGCATACAGCCTTTTAATTACAAAACTGCCATTACAATCATATTCTTTTAGATAATCCACACCTTATTCTATTTCTCTTATTCCTTATATTTTTGTTTGATTTCCATTAATATGTAGGGGTGGTGGACTCACGTAATAGGTTTTGTGGTGAAGATTTTTGTTTAGAACCCGCTGGGCATTTACTTCTAAAGAAAAAAAAATGATTTTGGGTCATTAAAAACAAAATAGTTATACTCATTTCATGTCACAAAAAGAGCTAAAATCCCATATAAACCTAACATTGGTTGAAAAATTAATAGATGTTTTAGTGTGTAACATTATACGATATTCAAAAAAAAAAAAAAATTATTGTTAGAAAGTCAGCAAATGATTTGAAACGTATTTTTTGCTACAATATGATGATATGTTACATCATTATGACGTAAGTCTATAAATTAATTTTTTTTTCCAGAAGAGATTGTTAACAAATTTCACTTGAAAGTGATGAATTTTAGTTAATTTTCTAGATTTAATTTAAAATTATAAGCATTGGGTGGCTGCAAACCTATCTATTCTTTTTTTTTTTTCTTTACCATTTTAGAACAAACTAAAATAAGTAATAAAATCATGAGTAAATATAAAATTTGAGTTTCCATGAAACACGAAAAATGAAACTAGCATAAGAATATAATTGATTGAGCATTTATAAATTAAGAATTAAAGTTTTATTCCAAAATAGCCAAAACCTTTATGTTTCTAAGAAATCAAAACGAATCAATAATTAAATTAAAATTCTAATTCCAATGATTCAAGACGTTTCAAACATTTCTGATATATTTTAATCAAATTTCAGAATATTTTGAAAATAAATTCATATATTTTTTTCCCTTTTAATTTTACTTTTAAAACATCTCCAAAATGTCTTCATTTTCTAGGTAACCAAAACAATGTACTGAAACAAAATTTTGATCCTAGACTTAGACGTCTTAACCGAGATTTAGCAAGGCTTAATGGTTTTTCAAAGGACTTTGGCATTTTTCAGCCAAACAATTGAGAACCTATTTGCGGCCAAAAAGAAAAAGAAAAAAAAAAAAAAAACCCTTTAATAACAATGCCATAACACACTGGTATTAACACACACTCCTAACAGTGTCCTGTATATTACAAAATACAATGTACAGCTGCAACAATCCTACTAGTACAACCCTTGATAAAAAGATAAGAATATATACTTTTCCTCAGTCCATTGGATAGTTTAGTGCATGAATCATTTGGTCAGTCAATCAGTTATGCAATCTGTCACTACCAATTCATTGTAGTTTTACAAACCATCTCAATGCAGGCAAGAAAATAATGGGCAACCAAAGTTTACCAGACATACCAACCACACAGCATGGTGCTGAGTGCTTTAATTAACACAAGGACTCAAAAATGTGGCCCACCAAATAGCCAAATTCATTTTTACTGGTGATGTGATTAATCGAAGCTTAGTGAAATCGTTAATGCACCCGTCTAAAATCCATTTTTCACATCTCACCGCATTCAGCGATAGCACAGGCCAATTTAGGTCGTTGGTTTGGTCCAGTAGCCACATTCTCAATCTTCCTAACAACCAAAAGACCGTCTCCAAGCACTCGCTGTATGAATATCAAAGCATCAAGATTAAATTGTGAAGAGAGCAACTTTAATTAATATAGATACAACTAAGTGCTCACAGAACAGGGTCAACAATGAGAGGGAATAACTATGCAATTTGGGGCTGTTGATGTTAAGTCACCCAACTCAACCAGTGAGAATCATCTACATATGCATGCCTTTGACACGAGACATACAAGCAATATGCATGAAATGACTAAATTTTAAGAAAAGTTTCTGGAATTTAATTTGTCTGAGTTGCGTTTCTGGTTCATAAGGGAATCAGTTCACCATTTTAGGTTTAATTGGTCCTCAATTTGATACGGAAACCCTTTTTGAGAAATATTGGATTTTCAAACCAGTCTTACACACCAAAAAAGTTACAATCTTCTGATATACTCATTGTCACCAAATCTAGAAAAAGGAAAATAATGTACATACCCCAAAGACTACATGCTTATTGTCAAGCCAATCACACTTTGCACATGTGATAAAGAACTGCAAGAAAGTAAGGAGCACATATTAGAAATCATAACCAATGTCATCAGACTTCCCACAGACAAACAAAATGCCCAAAATACTAGGAAGATACAATGACCAAAAATTACCCACAATATTAATGCCCAAAAGCACCCCATAATATTGAAAACAGTAGTGAAAAAGGTAATACAATGTATCCAAGGCTCCAAGCGCAAGCCTTTTATTCTGCAACACGCATTAGAACCACCAACCTAGTCGTCAAACTAAGGTCCTTTCTTTCTTTCTATTGTCTATGTATTCCTTTTTGTTTTAAGAATTTAGATACCCCACACAGAACACACATCATTCAATCAACCTGCAGCAGTTTGGCAACATTCAACAAAGGGGACCAAGGTTGGTATTCTACCACATTTGTTGTAGAAAGCAACATACATGAATCAGATAACTGATATTGCGAGAAAAAGAATAATATTGATACATTACCTGACACCCATTGGAATTTGGTCCATTATTTGCCTGCGAAAAAATCACACTCTTGTAAGAATAAAAAAAGAACATCAATACCATACTCAATATTAGCTCCCAAGACTTAACAGAATCACTTGCACTTCAGGGAAATTTCAGCTATTGAACATGAAAATAGGCGAACCAGGGGTCAGGCATCCGATAAGCTAATAGGATTATCAACATAGATCTGCCAAACCATATCTAAAGTAATGCAAAGTTCAATTTCCAAGAAAAACTAATCATTTGGCTAAACCACCAATGGGACAGATATCATTACCTACACCCATGAATGAATTTCTTTCCCACCGTTCACATGAAATTTTCTTGAAGCATATCAAATTAAGATTAGGTGTAGACATACACTTTTATTACCATAGTGACTGGGAATATAGAAGCGCAGCAAGGTCAAGGGGGACCTCCTCTAGTCAAAGGTGGACCTAAGTGCAAAGTGCAGCAGTAGCACCTTGCCAAGGTCAAGACACAAGCTTAGTGGGCTTAGGCACAAGGCCCAAGTTGCATATAAGACGTGGTTTGTAGAGTTCTCTTTTTTTTTTCCTTGTCCTCTTTTAAATTGCATGTGGGCCACTGATCTGGTGAAGTAACACAATATGTTTCGTATGCATAGTACACTAAACAAATCACACAAACTCATATCTGATCAATTCAACATCTCCCTCTCTCTCTCTCTGAAACACACATAGAGACGGGGATATTGAAGCTTTGAGAACATGATCGACACTACTGATCAACATTGTCAGTCCCTCTTCAATCTTCAGTCTTCTTTTTTCTTTTGATCTTTAGTCCCTCTCTACATTTCATTCCTCCTAGTCTCTGTCTCTTCCTTATTTCCTTTTCCCTCTGTTTTTGAACAACTAAATTTCCCTCTTTGGTATTATGAGCCCCTAATACATTAAACTTTTGTTTTCAGAAACATAGCTCCTTTTTTCCAAAAATGCCCTGTTGTAACGAAATAAGGTAATAGATTCCTAAAATGTCCCGTCTTTGAGTTAACAATGAGTTATGTGAGACCCTTGGTTTAGATAAACCATAAAACGCCAGTGGAAGGAAGGTGCCAAGTCAGCCGATTCCTTGAACCATGGATATAGTTAAGATAAGATATTGCTGACAATATGTACCAACTTACAAATAAACCTATCTCATCCTCTTTCATATCAAGCATCAAAAAAAATTGGCAACTAAATTATTCAAGATTTATAACCATTTTTGGATAATAGGTATTCAAATCAATTAGAAAGCAAAACAAAGAAATGGTTAAATATATATATATATGTACTAGTGAAACAAGAGAAAGCTAGTGAAAGAAAAGATAACATCTTTACACAAATTCAGGAGTAGTACAGCAAAATAACACTAAAAGGAACATGAAAATTAGCCTAAAGCACCAAGATAGTACCATTGACAGTAGACCTGGACCGGTGTGCTTGGCAAAAAAGTTTTCATCTTCAAACTTACTCCCATATATGGATACACATCCACTACCATCACCCTGCCAAGCAAAACTAACCATCAGATGAGGAGGAGTGGATTACATGAAAGAACAGACGGGCAAAACCACTATTGCAAGTAAAAATAAGTCAAACTGCCGTGTTGATGTTTTTAGCGCAAGGATTAAAATTTATCATCTTGTAGCATCAAATGATAGTTTCAACTCATTAGAGTGAAGAACGATGGATCCTCATTTCGGTGCAATTAAATGCACCCAACATTTGGACAGAGAAATGCAAAGCCACCCAAAACTTCAAAGAAATCAAAGCTGGGTAGAAGTGATGAGCAGAAGAATCCAGCATGGGCACTGCAGTCCTTGAGGAACAAAATAATTTCAAAGAAGGTCAAAATCTGCCTCTTTCGTAGGTAAATATTGCAATTGGCCTTTTTATGAAGATACTCTACCATAAAACACTAAGACCTTAAGTTAAATGTTTAATAATCTTTGAGATGTCCAGACAACAAAAATTCCTGTGGATGATGCAAAATGGTTCTTTAACCCACTCCATGAATTGCCTTCATTTGAAGGCAAAGACCTTTTATCATTCTATTTCTTAAATAGGCATCTACATTGGTAATTGGAATCACTCAAATTACGATAAACTTCAGCACAGATTAACTGCAGAGAAGAATAAATAAGAGCCACAGTATATCAAAAACTTCAGAAGCGCTACCACTTTCCTTTTAATAACACCAAGTATTTTTCTAAATCTTTTTTTTTTTGGTTTGGGGTGGGGGGAGAGAGACAGAAAGAGACCTTCACAAAATCACCAGCCTGAATCATAAAATCCTTAATCACCCTATGGAACTGGCATCCCTTGTAACCAACTGGTAATCCTGCTTTTCTGCCAATGCAATCCAGTAGATGATTGAGTTAGGGAATGGAGACATCTTATCAGAATATAAACCTCAACAACTTTAAACAATTGGCCAAGGAATGACAACAACAGTAACATAATACAATCAAATGCTGTTATAGGAGGACACCAATTTCCTGAAACCCAAAAAGGAATCTAAGATGGAAAATCTTAAAAAACTTGTAGCAGAACCTTTTCGAAAACTGGAAACTGTTTGGAAAGAAACTAAACATTTAGAAAACTGTCCTAAAGTTCTTCCAAGACACGAAAGCAACTTGTCAAATGTAGGTTTTTCCTATTCTTCTTGTGTCTTGTCCATGCAGCCATTTGTAAAATGTTCCTAAAGCAAGTGGCAGAGCTGGGGTGGGGGCAGTCAGGGCAGCTGCCCCCACTCCAATTTTGAGAAAGTTTTTGATCAACTTAAAATTATGAAAATTTTAAAATATTTTAAAACTTGCCCCCATTGGAAAGTTCGTAAGAGATTTAAAATAATACATTGTACTATATGTTAGATAGGTTTGTATTTTAGAAAGAATTAATACTTTTTGGACATAAAATTTTGAACTAATAACTTGACCTAATGAAGTGCCAAGTAATATGGTCCCAATAAAGGAATCCACCAATTGTGATTACAATAATACTATTAGAACATGTCAATTGCCCCATCACTAGGTCAACAAATTAGNTAAAGGTGGACCTAAGTGCAAAGTGCAGCAGTAGCACCTTGCCAAGGTCAAGACACAAGCTTAGTGGGCTTAGGCACAAGGCCCAAGTTGCATATAAGACGTGGTTTGTAGAGTTCTCTTTTTTTTTTCCTTGTCCTCTTTTAAATTGCATGTGGGCCACTGATCTGGTGAAGTAACACAATATGTTTCGTATGCATAGTACACTAAACAAATCACACAAACTCATATCTGATCAATTCAACATCTCCCTCTCTCTCTCTCTGAAACACACATAGAGACAGGGATATTGAAGCTTTGAGAACATGATCGACACTACTGATCAACATTGTCAGTCCCTCTTCAATCTTCCGTCTTCTTTTTTCTTTTGATCTTTAGTCCCTCTCTACATTTCATTCCTCCTAGTCTCTGTCTCTTCCTTATTTCCTTTTCCCTCTGTTTTTGAACAACTAAATTTCCCTCTTTGGTATTATGAGCCCCTAATACATTAAACTTTTGTTTTCAGAAACATAGCTCCTTTTTTCCAAAAATGCCCTGTTGTAACGAAATAAGGTAATAGATTCCTAAAATGTCCCGTCTTTGAGTTAACAATGAGTTATGTGAGACCCTTGGTTTAGATAAACCATAAAACGCCAGTGGAAGGAAGGTGCCAAGTCAGCCGATTCCTTGAACCATGGATATAGTTAAGATAAGATATTGCTGACAATATGTACCAACTTACAAATAAACCTATCTCATCCTCTTTCATATCAAGCATCAAAAAAAATTGGCAACTAAATTATTCAAGATTTATAACCATTTTTGGATAATAGGTATTCAAATCAATTAGAAAGCAAAACAAAGAAATGGTTAAATATATATATATATGTACTAGTGAAACAAGAGAAAGCTAGTGAAAGAAAAGATAACATCTTTACACAAATTCAGGAGTAGTACAGCAAAATAACACTAAAAGGAACATGAAAATTAGCCTAAAGCACCAAGATAGTACCATTGACAGTAGACCTGGACCGGTGTGCTTGGCAAAAAAGTTTTCATCTTCAAACTTACTCCCATATATGGATACACATCCACTACCATCACCCTGCCAAGCAAAACTAACCATCAGATGAGGAGGAGTGGATTACATGAAAGAACAGACGGGCAAAACCACTATTGCAAGTAAATATAAGTCAAACTGCCGTGTTGATGTTTTTAGCGCAAGGATTAAAATTTATCATCTTGTAGCATCAAATGATAGTTTCAACTCATTAGAGTGAAGAACGATGGATCCTCATTTCGGTGCAATTAAATGCACCCAACATTTGGACAGAGAAATGCAAAGCCACCCAAAACTTCAAAGAAATCAAAGCTGGGTAGAAGTGATGAGCAGAAGAATCCAGCATGGGCACTGCAGTCCTTGAGGAACAAAATAATTTCAAAGAAGGTCAAAATCTGCCTCTTTCGTAGGTAAATATTGCAATTGGCCTTTTTTATGAAGATACTCTAGCATAAAACACTAAGACCTTAAGTTAAATGTTTAATAATCTTTGAGATGTCCAGACAACAAAAATTCCTGTGGATGATGCAAAATGGTTCTTTAACCCACTCCATGAATTGCCTTCATTTGAAGGCAAAGACCTTTTATCATTCTATTTCTTAAATAGGCATCTACATTGGTAATTGGAATCACTCAAATTACGATAAACTTCAGCACAGATTAACTGCAGAGAAGAATAAATAAGAGCCACAGTATATCAAAAACTTCAGAAGCGCTACCACTTTCCTTTTAATAACACCAAGTATTTTTCTAAATCTTTTTTTTTTTGGTTTGGGGTGGGGGGAGAGAGACAGAAAGAGACCTTCACAAAATCACCAGCCTGAATCATAAAATCCTTAATCACCCTATGGAACTGGCATCCCTTGTAACCAACTGGTAATCCTGCTTTTCTGCCAATGCAATCCAGTAGATGATTGAGTTAGGGAATGGAGACATCTTATCAGAATATAAACCTCAACAACTTTAAACAATTGGCCAAGGAATGACAACAACAGTAACATAATACAATCAAATGCTGTTATAGGAGGACACCAATTTCCTGAAACCCAAAAAGGAATCTAAGATGGAAAATCTTAAAAAACTTGTAGCAGAACCTTTTCGAAAACTGGAAACTGTTTGGAAAGAAACTAAACATTTAGAAAACTGTCCTAAAGTTCTTCCAAGACACGAAAGCAACTTGTCAAATGTAGGTTTTTCCTATTCTTCTTGTGTCTTGTCCATGCAGCCATTTGTAAAATGTTCCTAAAGCAAGTGGCAGAGCTGGGGTGGGGGCAGTCAGGGCAGCTGCCCCCACTCCAATTTTGAGAAAGTTTTTGATCAACTTAAAATTATGAAAATTTTAAAATATTTTAAAACTTGCCCCCATTGGAAAGTTCGTAAGAGATTTAAAATAATACATTGTACTATATGTTAGATAGGTTTGTATTTTAGAAAGAATTAATACTTTTTGGACATAAAATTTTGAACTAATAACTTGACCTAATGAAGTGCCAAGTAATATGGTCCCAATAAAGGAATCCACCAATTGTGATTACAATAATACTATTAGAACATGTCAATTGCCCCATCACTAGGTCAACAAATTAGGTAGTTTTTAGATCTCAATCTATGTCGATTACTATTTTAATAACACTATTGGATTACATTGTTTGGATTAATTTGGTTCGGTTTTAATAGTCTTGGTTGTATCAAATTTTTCTTACAAATGCTTGGCACAATGATAAAATATTGAATTTAATACCTTTTATTTTGCCACAAAAGATTTTGCAGTAGGTCTTGTGATAAGCTTACATTTTTTCTAGGTAATTAACTAAACATATTCCAACAAAGGTTATATTATAATATCACTAGNACTCATATCTGATCAATTCAACATCTCCCTCTCTCTCTCTCTGAAACACACATAGAGACAGGGATATTGAAGCTTTGAGAACATGATCGACACTACTGATCAACATTGTCAGTCCCTCTTCAATCTTCCGTCTTCTTTTTTCTTTTGATCTTTAGTCCCTCTCTACATTTCATTCCTCCTAGTCTCTATCTCTTCCTTATTTCCTTTTCCCTCTGTTTTTGAACAACTAAATTTCCCTCTTTGGTATTATGAGCCCCTAATACATTAAACTTTTGTTTTCAGAAACATAGCTCCTTTTTTCCAAAAATGCCCTGTTGTAACGAAATAAGGTAATAGATTCCTAAAATGTCCCGTCTTTGAGTTAACAATGAGTTATGTGAGACCCTTGGTTTAGATAAACCATAAAACGCCAGTGGAAGGAAGGTGCCAAGTCAGCCGATTCCTTGAACCATGGATATAGTTAAGATAAGATATTGCTGACAATATGTACCAACTTACAAATAAACCTATCTCATCCTCTTTCATATCAAGCATCAAAAAAAATTGGCAACTAAATTATTCAAGATTTATAACCATTTTTGGATAATAGGTATTCAAATCAATTAGAAAGCAAAACAAAGAAATGGTTAAATATATATATATATGTACTAGTGAAACAAGAGAAAGCTAGTGAAAGAAAAGATAACATCTTTACACAAATTCAGGAGTAGTACAGCAAAATAACACTAAAAGGAACATGAAAATTAGCCTAAAGCACCAAGATAGTACCATTGACAGTAGACCTGGACCGGTGTGCTTGGCAAAAAAGTTTTCATCTTCAAACTTACTCCCATATATGGATACACATCCACTACCATCACCCTGCCAAGCAAAACTAACCATCAGATGAGGAGGAGTGGATTACATGAAAGAACAGACGGGCAAAACCACTATTGCAAGTAAAAATAAGTCAAACTGCCGTGTTGATGTTTTTAGCGCAAGGATTAAAATTTATCATCTTGTAGCATCAAATGATAGTTTCAACTCATTAGAGTGAAGAACGATGGATCCTCATTTCGGTGCAATTAAATGCACCCAACATTTGGACAGAGAAATGCAAAGCCACCCAAAACTTCAAAGAAATCAAAGCTGGGTAGAAGTGATGAGCAGAAGAATCCAGCATGGGCACTGCAGTCCTTGAGGAACAAAATAATTTCAAAGAAGGTCAAAATCTGCCTCTTTCGTAGGTAAATATTGCAATTGGCCTTTTTTATGAAGATACTCTAGCATAAAACACTAAGACCTTAAGTTAAATGTTTAATAATCTTTGAGATGTCCAGACAACAAAAATTCCTGTGGATGATGCAAAATGGTTCTTTAACCCACTCCATGAATTGCCTTCATTTGAAGGCAAAGACCTTTTATCATTCTATTTCTTAAATAGGCATCTACATTGGTAATTGGAATCACTCAAATTACGATAAACTTCAGCACAGATTAACTGCAGAGAAGAATAAATAAGAGCCACAGTATATCAAAAACTTCAGAAGCGCTACCACTTTCCTTTTAATAACACCAAGTATTTTTCTAAATCTTTTTTTTTTTGGTTTGGGGTGGGGGGAGAGAGACAGAAAGAGACCTTCACAAAATCACCAGCCTGAATCATAAAATCCTTAATCACCCTATGGAACTGGCATCCCTTGTAACCAACTGGTAATCCTGCTTTTCTGCCAATGCAATCCAGTAGATGATTGAGTTAGGGAATGGAGACATCTTATCAGAATATAAACCTCAACAACTTTAAACAATTGGCCAAGGAATGACAACAACAGTAACATAATACAATCAAATGCTGTTATAGGAGGACACCAATTTCCTGAAACCCAAAAAGGAATCTAAGATGGAAAATCTTAAAAAACTTGTAGCAGAACCTTTTCGAAAACTGGAAACTGTTTGGAAAGAAACTAAACATTTAGAAAACTGTCCTAAAGTTCTTCCAAGACACGAAAGCAACTTGTCAAATGTAGGTTTTTCCTATTCTTCTTGTCNACTAACCTGTACTCTCCAGTGCAGAATTGCCTGCCAAATACACAGAAGAAAAGTTAGGAGTAATGAACTGGCAGCACTTTGGGTATTACAAAATCGTAAATAAGACTAAAAAAACCTCTGCGCATATCAATTGAAAGCATCACTAACAAAAATGTAAGCGCATCAAAATATGCGAGTTAACAGAACCCGGTTGAAAAAACAAATACACATTATATTTTGAAAATAATTTTCTGTCCCTTCTGATATCCAAACACATGAAGGACATTCACAAAGGCTAGAACATATTTCTTTTTGCTACACACTAGTCTAAATGAAAGTGAAATGAAAAAATCATGACCACGATAGGCTATGTATTCTTATCAATTGCTCCTTCATTCACATTTTAAGTTATATTCCATAAGACAAACCAGTATTTGAATTGCGCAAGACCGATTTAAGCCATGAATAATTAATAAGGGAGAGGGGACAAACATGTGTATCCTTGAGAAACTGATTTTCAGAGATGAGTGGATATAACGCAAATCGATAGCACACCCATTTTCTCCATGAACATGTTTGGAAGCTTCTACTACGGAATGGCCATACTTGGCTCTCTTATCTTATAAAGCTCCTTGCACTTCTTTAAATACCAAAAGACACTCCAACAAGGTCTAACTCTCATCCTTCCATGCAGCAACCTGTCCACCATGCTGCATTGGGATTCTGAAAACAGCTACTTCCAATGATATGATACACACGAGAGGAAACAGTATCTTTGTAGAACCTTAAGAATCAGACTTCCTGCCAAGAGGGGAGCATTGACTTGAGGTAGTTATGAGGCACCTCAAAAAGAAAAAGATGCTGCTGAAAAGCAGCTGGGGCAAGCTGATTCACAATCGCACAAAGAGAGAGAGGGGNAGAGGCATACTCAATACACTTTAGTAGGGTCACACAAAACCTAAGGAATGAAAAGTAGCTTGACACACCATAGTCAATTAGAATTATTACAAATTCTCCCACAACTCTAATGAGAATAGGTACAACTAACTTTTATAGGACTATAGAAAACTTTTTGAGGGCCTCTGTTTTTGTATTTCACATGCATATAGATTGCGCGCCTAATTGGCATTCTTCTAATGACATTGCATTTACATAAAAGTATTAAACAACATTAGCTATTATAATCATAATTTTAATTTATTAATGAGCTTTAAGTTGCCCTCACTGCCAAAATCCTGGCTCCGCCTTGCCTAAAGCCTATACTCATCTCGACTTTTTATGGTTCATATTTGTTTTATGAATCATTCAAAGTGTNTATCTGAGCCATATCTGTCCATAAAAAATACTTCTTCGCTGTTCAGGATACTTGTGAAAGTGCCGGACATGTGTCCAACAATCGAGGAGTATCCGTGCCTCCTAGCTCACCATACTCATGCCCATGTAACTACTACTCATTGGCTATTCTCNATTTGTTTTATGAATCATTCAAAGTGTCCTTGCAATTTTAATCATTTCTGAGTCACAACAGCCATGTGTTTTCTCAACTTTCTCACTTTCTATTTCACGCTTCTAAATCATATCATTTGTATTCACAATCTGATCATTAATAGCTTTTAGCTAATTTCTCTTCACATTTCATTCCCAACCCAATTCCATGCTTCTTTCAATTCCAGTTGCAATAAAATGATAGATGGCATTGATTAAACANGACAATATCCTACAATCAAGGGTGGAGTTATAATGGGGTTAACAAAATTTTAGGGTGTGTTTAGAAATTTAAAAATTTTAGGATACCACCCCCATTGCAATACTATAAAAGTTTTAAGTGTAACTTTTTATTTTAAACAATACCCAAGTTTCTTTCGTAGAAGAGGGAAAAAATATGTGTGATGGTAGACTTTCAGATCCATTGGTTTAGTGGGCCCATGTGTCGGCCACTAATAGGTTACGAACTAGAGAGCTAAAATGAAGTGTGTCTATCTCAAAACAATATGAAATGATCTTAACCATGTATGCCTTAACTTTTAGATTCAATGGTTTTAAGTGAAACAAAAAATATGATCAAACTCTAAACAAATTTGAATGGACAGCCATATTCGGAGACAGACCCAAAATCTCTATAACCCAATTGCATCGAATTGAATATATATAAGAAACAAACTAACATTTCATGGAAATTGGAAAAATTACAAAGAATTGAAATTTTCCTTATTAAGACAAATCTTAGAATCTATTTGTAGTTCCCATAATTTTAAATATGACCTTGAAAGCATGAGACAAAATTAACAGAGATTTTGAGTACTTAGCGAATTTGGGTGATAAATTTATGGACCCATTATACCCCTCAATTAAATTATTCAATATGAACCTTGACGAATGCAACACAAATTTGCTAAACATGGCTATNTACATTTCATGGAAATTGGAAAAATTACAAAGAATTGAAATTTTCCTAATTAAGATAAATCTTAGAATCTATTTGTAGTTCCCATAATTTTAAATATGACCTTGAAAACATGAGACAAAATTAACAGAGATTTTGAGTACTTAGCGAATTTGGGTGATAAATTTATGGACCCATTATACCCCTCAACTAAATTATTCAATATGAACCTTGACGAATGCAACACAAATTTGCTAAACATGGCTATCAATTTAATTTATTTTTTTGCTATTGCAGATAATATAGCTTTGATTATCTGAATTTGGATTGAAGTACGATGATTCAATTGGTTGTATAAGGTTCTCTTTGAAATATTACCTGCAATGATTGATTTTTGAGAATTCAAAGATTAGGAGGATATAAAGGAGTTCGATTATGCAAAATGGGTTTGTTGCTATTGTCTTGAATCTTGACTTCGTATTTATGGATAATTTTACAGTGAGTTTTTTTTTTTTTTGTTGCCTCCCTTTTGTACATTGCGGTCTATATGATTTATGTTTGTAATTAGTAATGAAAATATACATATAAAAAATTATTATATTTTTTTTGAGTTTGCCCCCACTGCAAATGGGGTCTGCCTCCGCCCTTGCGGCTACAATGCAAGGTGGTATGAAGGTGGCTTGTGAGTGGGGTGGGATGCCAGCATGAAGCAAGGCGAGGCGAGGGGAGAGGCTAGAAATGTAAATCCCATTCATCAAACGGGTCTGCTAGTACATAAATTACAAAACATAAACACGTATATACACCCACACAATCGAAAAATACCAACAAACACAAATATGCTTGAGAGTATGCCAATTTATGCAGTTTAACGCAGGCAGAGAGAGAGGATAGGGAAGACAATACCTGAAATTTTCGGCTGTTTTGGGGGCAATATCGGCGAAGAGTTCCATCTTGATACGACCAGCGGGGATGGTACCGAGGGTTACATCGAAGAACACAATTGGGTTTTTAGGGTTCGGTGGCCTCTGGTGCCACTCCACTGCCGCTACATTCCCTCCACCCGACGCCATCAATCGATTACAGAGAGAGAGAGAGAGAGAGAGAGGNTTCCATGCAGCAACCTGTCCACCATGCTGCATTGGGATTCTGAAAACAGCTACTTCCAATGATATGATACACACAAGAGGAAACAGTATCTTTGTAGGACCTTAAGAATCAGACTTCCTGCCAAGAGGGGAGCATTGACTTGAGGTAGTTATGAGGCACCTCAAAAAGAAAAAGACGCTGCTGAAAAGCAGCTGGGGCAAGCTGATTCACAATCGCACAAAGAGAGAGAGGGGNACTAATTTCACTTTGTACCCCAAAAGATACTCTAATTCTCAATTTGTACCTTCATTGTTATGGATCGATAACAATGTGGACCTTGTCTAAACTGCCAATCAATTTTCAGTCATAAATTGAAGCACATGAGTTACAAGTGCTTCAGAGATGAGGATGAGGTGCGTTCATCACTGCAGATATTCGTCTACTATTAATTTGACATTGTTTTATGTATTAAAAATAAGGTTTCGTTAAGCAAATAAATGTTAAGTTTATCATGTGTAACTAACATGAGGCGCCAACATTCTGTGAATTTATATATAAGGCTATGACTAAAGATTTTATAACTCATGTGCTTCAATTTATAATGAAAAAGTGAATGGTAATCTAAGCAAAGTTTACATTATTACCAATTCATAACATTGAGGGTGTAAATTGAGATTTTTAATGTTTAAAGATATAAATTAAAAATTANTCTGAGCCATATCTGTCCATAAAAAATACTTCTTTGCTGTTCAGGATACTTGTGAAAGTGCTGGACATGTGTCCAACAATCGAGGAGTATCTGTGCCTCCTAGCTCACCATACTCATGCCCATGTAACTACTACTCATTGGCTATTCTCTCTTGATACCAACTGATCTCAAAAGATAGGAATAGATGTGAAAAAGGCTATCCAACCCCACCGAAGACAATATCCTACAATCAAGGGTGGAGTTATAATGGGGTTAACAAAATTTTAGGGTGTGTTTAGAATTTTAAAAATTTTAGGATACCGCCCCCATTGCAATACTATAAAATTTTTAAGTGTAACTTTTTATTTTAAACAATACCCAAGTTTCTTTCGTAGAAGAGGGAAAAAATATGTGTGATGGTAGACTTTCAGACCCATTGGTTTAGTGGGCCCATGTGTCGGCCACTAATAGGTTACGAACTAGAGAGCTAAAATGAAGTGTGTCTATCTCAAANCGTGAATATAAACGGGGTGAACTTAGTTATTAATGGGTTGGGCATAGATAGAGTGAATTTAGTAGCTTGAAATAAAAAATTTTATAAGGACCTAAACCGTAACACTAGATCAACTAAAAAAAGGAAACTACCTAACATTAATAAATTATACGGAGACCCCATTTAATCTTGTATTTTATCCATCTGTATTGTATTAGCCTGTATTATTTTATTTAATCTGTCCATTTCTAATATGGCAACCAAAAGAGTGCTTAAAGGATTGTGTTAACTTGGAATTGCTAACCTTAATCCTCGGGGTGATATTCTAGGGGCCTGAACAATCTCAGTATTAGAACTTCACCAATTTGGTCCAGTCCAAATGCTGGTCCCTAAGTTTATTGAAATTGATTTACACTCGCTTCGAGTCAAATCCAAATAACAACATATACGATTTGAAAAAGTCAACTCAACTCAAATGGGTTGTTGTTTACAAATATTGCCATACTTATTCAAAATTAGATACTATGTGTGTGTTTGGCAGACAACTCAAAAATCTATTCTGCATATGCGAGCGAACACTTCTCAAAGAAATAAGATTATTTGGTGTCCAAAAAAAATAGACTTATCAAAAGGTGCATCTTCAAGATGCCCATTTTAGATAAGTCTTTCAGGGAGCTTCTCAAAATCATCCTATTTGCACTTCTCGGGAAGTGTTTTTAATGTCACCTTTGCAATTAAATATATGTTTTAACCCTACTTCATAGATTATTTACTTATCTTAGATTACAAGATATATATATACATATATATATATATATATATATATATATATNTATATATAAGCTTATGACTAAAGATTTTGTAACTCATGTGCTTCAATTTATAATGAAAAAATGAATGGTAATCTAAGCAAAGTTTACATTATTACCAATTCCTAACATTGAGGGTGTAAATTGAGATTTTTAATGTTTAAAGATATAAATTAAAAATTAAAGCAACTTTCAAGGTACAAAGTGACATTAGCCCTAAAATTTTATTGGTGGACCTATTTTCACCCATTAAATATCTTTACTCACCCCATTATTTTTTTTTTCTTTTTGGGAAGGTATATTTAATTCTGTTGTTTTGCAATTTGCACTATTAAAACCATTTCATTTACATCCACCCGTTAGTGACTAAGCTTATTCTATCCATGCTAATCCAATTAAATAATTAAATTTTTTTTTCACCCAATATAAAAATTTTTTTGACCCCATTATACATACACTAGATCATGCTGTTCTATTCAAGTCTGTGCATTATCAACATGCAAATTACATAGAAGAAATTTGGTATTTTCTATACCAATGAAGTTTTTAGTATGTTTTGATTTCTTCCAATTTGAACATAGCAAATTCTGCTTCTAAACGAAACATAGCAACTTGTCTTCTCACTCATAACCGGTGAAGACAACTCAAAAACATACTTTAGCTTTCATTTGTTTCTCTATATTATTCATGAAAAAACAAACAGTTTGAAATTTCAAGGCACCTAATGTGAAAAAACAGGCACATACCAACCTTTTGTTTTCACCCTTTTCCATAGCTTGAACTTTGTGATAACAGAAGGGCTCAACACATACAAGGTCTTGACACAGAATGAAGTAAAGCAAATGGACCAAATTACTATAATCCTAACACAGTAGAACTGATCCAACAATGATTTTTATTAATGGGTGAATATAAACGGGGTGAACTTAGTTATTAATGGGGTGGGCATAGATAGAGTGAATTTAGTAGCTTGAAATAAAAAATTTTATAAGGACCTAAAGCGTAACACTAGATCAACTAAAAAAAGGAAACTACCTAACATTAATAAATTATACGGAGACCCCATTTAATCTTGTATTTTATCCATCTGTATTGTATTAGCCTGTATTATTTTATTTAATCTGTCCATTTCTAATATGGCAACCAAAAGAGTGCTTAAAGGATTGTGTTAACTTGGAATTGCTAACCTTAATCCTCGGGGTGATATTCTAGGGGCCTGAACAATCTCAGTATTAGAACTTCACCAATTTGGTCCAGTCCAAATGCTGGTCCCTAAGTTTATTGAAATTGATTTACACTCGCTTCGAGTCAAATCCAAATAACAACATATACGATTTGAAAAAGTCAACTCAACTCAAATGGGTTGTTGTTTACAAATATTGCCATACTTATTCAAAATTAGATACTATGTGTGTGTTTGGCAGACAACTTAAAAATCTATTCTGCATATGCGAGCGAACACTTCTCAAAGAAATAAGATTATTTGGTGTCCAAAAAAAATAGACTTATCAAAAGGTGCATCTTCAAGATGCCCATTTTAGATAAGTCTTTCAGGGAGCTTCTCAAAATCATCCTATTTGCACTTCTCGGGAAGTGTTTTTAATGTCACCTTTGCAATTAAATATATGTTTTAACCCTACTTCATAGATTATTTACTTATCTTAGATTACAAGATATATATATACATATATATATATATATATATATATNCAACATTTCTCTCTTTTTATTAAAAGGCCCAATTTATAATTTTCATTTAGGACCTCAATTTTTATCGGGCCAGCCTTGAATGGATATACACTTGTATAGTTTTGTATAGTAGTTTATGTCATCTAAGCCAAAATTCCAAAAAAGAATCGTTATTCAAATACCGTACTAGCAAAGTTTACCCTTATCACATAGTGTACACAAACAACCGATGGATCTTGCAATGAAACCTACACCACATGTGAAGGACCATGTGACTCCCCGACCCAATGCCACACAAATCAGAGCATCAATAAGGTGGCATTTGACAAAACTACAAATTAAACATTGAATACTGAATTTTAAGTGTTGAATGCTGAATTTTTAATTCGTAAACTGTTTGGTATCAATTAAAATTTAAGTATTGAATTAAATTAAACTATTTGACAAATATAAATAGATGAATTTTGAAATTTATTATTACTCTAATTTTTCCATTCTTTTTACTCATCTCATTGCAACTACCTTTCCTACCACCACCATCACAATGGTGGTGGCGATGACAACACAATGATGGTGGTGGTGGTGAGATAATGGTGGTGGTCATGGCAACACAATGGTGGTGACATAATGGTAGTGGTAATGGCGGCAATGATAATGATGGCGGTAGCGGTGGCACAATGGTGGTGGTGACAGTGCCTCGATGGTAATGGTGATAATGGTACTAGTGGTGGTGGCGGCGGCAACACAATGGTGGTGCTAGTAATGATAACATAATGGTGGTGGTAATAGCGACACAATGATGGGGGTGGCGGTAGTGGTGGTGATGACATAATGGTAGTGGTGGTGACGGTGACAGTGACACAATAATAGTGGTGGTGGTGATGGGGGTTGTACAATGATGATGGTGGTGGCAATGGCACAATGGTGGCAATAGAGGTGGTGGCGGTGACGACAATACAATGGTCGTGGCTGTGGGTAATGGTAAGTATTGAAAATTTAGGAGTGTAAGATGAATTGAGGGTATATTTGTCCATTATGAGGAATTGATAAAAATCCTTATTGACTAACATTTTCAGCATTAAGTGATAAATATGTGATTTGTTACTTAAAATTTTAGCCTATTTTTAAAAAATGCTTAATATATCAAGTAGTTTAATATAATTTAAATAACATAACATATATTTTGTATATAAAATTTAACTTTTAAATATGTATTTTTAATAATTTTTATAGATGTAAACATGTGTACATATATATCTAGTATGACACACTCTCAAGGTGTTATCGCTCTCAATTATTTTAAAA